TGTTTACTTTCCCACTACATGATGAGCAAAATAAATTACATTTTCAGGGTCCTTTGAAGTCTTTTAGTTCCTGGCAGCATGAATATCTGTTTAAGCAAGAATACAAAGACTGTTTTTTACACAGCTATAGAAGAAGCAAAATAAAGTTTACAGGTATGTTTACCAGCACTGCTACAGCACTCAACATCTTCAGAGAAGTAAGGTTCCTGTTCAGTTTTGCTCTATACAAACAAAAAGTCTTTACCCTGAAGATTTTTCCATCTGCAAGCAAAACACCATAACCCGTTTTGCATTTTTCTGTTTGCCAGATATACTTTAATATTCATACAAATTTCTACAGCCACGTGTAGTTTTGTCCTGGGTTCAATAGTAGCAGTCATGTTTTTCCCCTTCTTAGTAGCTGGTGCAGCGCTGTGTTTTTGACTTTCAGCCTGGGAACAGAGCTGATAACACTCAGATGTTTGGTCTGGCCAAGAACTTTGAGCCTCATGCTCTGCCAGGGAGGAGGGGAAGCCAGGAGGAAGCAGAGACAGGACACCTGACCCAAACTGACCAAAGAGGTATTCCATACCACAGCACGTCATGCCCAGGATGTAACTGGGAGTTAGCCGGAAGGGCTAGGAACTGCGGGGTTGGAGGAGGTATCGGTCAGTGCTTGGTTGGGCTGGGGGGGAGTGAGTTATCGGTTGGCTGGTGGTGAGGTGTTGTATTCTCTTCCCTTGTTATTTCCTTTATCATTGTTATTATTGGTGGTAGCAGTAGTGATTTGTGTTATACCTTAAACGGTTCTTATCTGAACCCATGGGAGTTGCATTCTTTTGGATTTTCCTCTCTGTCCCTCCGGGAGTAGGGGGAAGGAAAGAAGGGGGGGGGAAGTGAGTGAACAAGCTGTCTGGCTGGGTTTAAACCGCAACTAGTTTCAAAGCCATTTATACTAGGCATAATTCTAGAATCCTTCCTCCTCTCAGAAGTACCTGGAAAAATTGGCTCCTCCATCCAACACTGCCCAGGTTAGGAAATTTCATTTGGATAGAAGGACAAAACTTACTCCCTAGTGGCCAGGCCAAATACCTGGTGCATTCACTACTGACCACAAGTATATATATAAATGCCATGATAGATACCAAGGAGTATTCTACTTATCAAGCTGTACTGTAAAAGTCTAGAATGGATTTGGCATTAGGTCAAATCCCCACTCTGAAGCTCTGTGAAAGGACTGATACATTTTGGCTGGGCAAAGCAATAAGCATCCTTCTTTCCCTACTAAATTTTGGCTGAAGTCAAGTTCACATAAAATGTTTTAAGTTCAGGTAAAACCTCAGTGGCATTCATTCCTTTTTCCCGAGTAAGAAAATATTTCTTGGCTCATCTGTGCTGGTTCAAAACCTTATCACATTCTCTTGAAGTGTAGAAAAACTTTGCCTTCTACCAATAACATTCTTGCAAGATTTTTATGGAAGAGAGTCTAATTTAAATAGACGTAATGGACAGAGCTGCTTCTAGTCACAGACACACTACTAGAGGGAGGCTTCTTTATTAGCTAGAATGTAGAGCCTAAATATTAAAGACATAAAGATATTAAAGCAGAGACTATATCATCAACACGAGCAGAAGGATAGTGAGGTATTTTGCTTGCACACTGCTCAAACTTCAAGACTGAGACAGCACTTTATGCACCAGATATCACTCAATCAAATAACCTGCAGGTTGCACATCATTCTGGCTGCCACAGGCAGGTTTCAGGTTTGCTGAAAGGCACCTGGTATATTTGTACACAGGAGAAAGTTGCTTCAAATATTTGTTCTCAATTTCGTATTATTTTTCGTATCACCATCTGCACCAACAACTCACCCATTCATAAACTTTCTTTCCTTTGAGAAGGCAGGGGAGTTATTGATGCACATATCAATCATTCCAGCTTCATGACTTAAAAGCTTCTTCACTTCTTATTGCCACCCAGATGTTCAGGGTGGTAAGTATTCAAACTCAGAGACATTCAAAACTATAACAAAACACAAACCTGTGCATTTTTAACAGCAGAATGTAACCAACAGCTGCTGCTGACATGAACCGAAAATAAAAATACAGATGACTAAGCACACACTTGCCAAACAACTTCTAAGACCAATTTAAGAATCAAACGCACTACTGCCAAAGCTTTGAACTAGAGGAAGCAGGTGCATTTCCACCCAGCAGGTAGATGGGATGAAATCCGGTCTCATCAGGTCACTAACAAGGATTCAGGACTAACAGCAGATTGGGCAAAAAAACGCTTTTACATATGATTTCCTGATACACAGAAGTTAGATATTTCCGCTGTTTCATCTTCTATTTTTCGTAGGACAAACTGCTGAAAACTAAATTATGCAATGGAATGCAGGCATCTATTCTGATACACAATGGTTTATTGAAACAAACTGCACAGGAAACATTTCTGCCCTGTATGTATTTATGATTACCACCAAGTGAGCAGTGTACATGCAGGCAAAGATATTTTGCTTAATAAAAGTAAAGGTGATGGGGGTAGGATTAATTCCTGGTAGAATAACAGTCCCTTCAAAGTCCACTTAGAAGAGTTATTGCTGTCAATATAAGGAATTTGATACGTTTATTACCATCATACATTTTCACAGAGTCAAATCTTAATATGTTTATGTCTTTACATGGCAAAAACAAAAGCCACAATAAGGCCTGTGAAGCTGTGAGAGTCAGGGCTGCATGAATCAAACCAGGTTTTCTTCTTTCTACTACTAGCAAATAGATTTGCTACAGCAGTACCAACAGCAGGGGAAGTTTGCTTGGGAAAAAATAAAAATCCACTTTCCACGAGATATCTATTTCATCAAGAAGTTGTTAAGGCTGTGCTGTTAGTTTCCATTTTTCTTCCCAGAGGTCCTTATGTCAGCTACAGCCTATTTCCGGTCACTTTCTCAAGGGAAAGCTTTGTGTGGCATTAAGAGCTGAAAGGAAAGGCAACAGATTGAAAACAGCATGAAAGTACAGAAGCTCTAATGACAGCAACAGTATATTTTAAACCCGGGGTTCCCCAGGGTATTACATCAGTAACTCAGCTGAGACACTGAACTACGAAGAATTCTCACATTATTTAACTATTTGTTACAAAACAGCAAATAGTTGACAGGGGAGAAAACATTTTGATTAAAGCTCATCAGCAGTTAAACTCTAAATCCAAAAGCTCCCTGTATGAGCCCACTGCTGCCAATGCATGCAGAGAGAAGTCAGGTGGAGCAGTGGAGGCAGAGGGGCCAGCGCGGGCAGTCCTGTCACAGATAAATAACTGCCCTGTCTCACCAGCACAGCAGCCAGCCCCCTCCAGACCTTCAGATGCAGGGCAGATCCCCAACCCTGCTACCCCTATCCAGACACAGCCATGGCGGCTGCAAGCTCTCTGTGGGCAATGCACAGGAGGGGGTGGTTAGTTATTGGGATGCCATTTGCTCTCCAAACCATTGTTCTCCATCTTAGCTTGGAAAAAGGCAAGAGGGAGAGCTCCCTGTACCACTTCAGAAACAGCTTGTGTCCCAGTAGCCCTGTGCGTATACTTCAGCAACTCCTGCTGTCACCAGATCCAGCTATCATTTAGGTTGGAAGGGACTCTGTTGAGATCATCTAACCTTACCCCTGTGTCTGCTTTATTCACCTTCTTCATGGAAGTACCACAGACCCACACATACAGGACCACAACCACACAAACAATACCTACAAGCAGGGGGTGGCGGTCGGTGGGGGATGTGTGCTATATATCAGGACTGGTTTGGGTTGGAAGGTGGAAGTGATCTTAAAGCTCATCCAGTTCCAAACCAATGACACAGGCAGGGATACCTTCCACTAGACGAGGTTGCTCCAAGCCCCATCCAACTTGGCCTTCAACACTGACAGGGATGGGGAAGCCACATCATTGTTCTCTGAGCAACCTGTGCCAGCAACCTGTATCACCTTTATTTTTAAAAGGTATCTATTGTATGCCTTATATTTTTAAAAGGTACCCATTTGCCAGTGCTGAAACGGTAACATATCCACAACCTTCTTGAACACCTAAGTACATGTCTTTTCTACATCAGTTTAAATAAACACATTTAAAACCAAAGCTGAATTAAAAATGAGGTGGGCCAATGCCAACTTCATGAAGTTCAACCAAACCTAGTGCAAGGTCCTACACCTGGGTTGGAGCAATCCCAGGCACAGCTACAGGTTGGGCAGAGAAGAGATTCAGAGCAGCCCTGTGGAGAAAGACTTGGGGGTGTTGGTCGATGAGAAACTGAACATGAGCCAGCTTCAGTGTGCGCTCACAGCCCAGAAAGCCAACCGTATCCTGGGCCACATCTAAAGGAGTGTGACCAGCAGGTCAAAGGAGGTGATCCTGCCCCTCGGCTCTGCTCTCATGAGACCCCACTTGAAGCACTGTGTACAGTTCTGGTGTCCTCAACATAAAAAGGACTTGGAACAAGTGCAGAGGAGGGCCGTGAGGATGATCAGGGGACTGGAGCACCTCCTGTATGAAGACAGGCTGAGAAAGTTGGGGCTGTTTAGCCTGGAGAAGAGAAGGCTGTGTGGAGACCTCATAGCAGCCTTCCAGTGTCTGAAGGGGGCCTACAGGGATGCTGGGGAGGGACTCTTCATCAGGGACTGTAGTGATAGGATAAAGGGTAATGGGTTAAAACTTAAACAGGGGAAGTTTAGGTTAGGTATAAGGAAGAAATTCTTTACTGTGAGGGTGGTGAAGAACTGGAATGCCCAGGGAAGTTGTGAATGCCCCATCCCTGGCAGGGATCCCTTGGACAAGGCCAGGTTGGATGGTGGCTTGGGTGACATGGTTTAGTGTGAGGTGTCCATGCCCACGGCTGGGAGGTTGGAATTAGATGATCTTAAGGTCCTTTGCAACCCTAACTATTCTATGATTCCAGAGCACAGAAGTTCACTGGCAGGTGGGAAGGAATTCTTGACTATTAAGCACACAGATGTACCTTAAAATCAATTGAAAATGTGACCATAAGTCTCCGATGAGAACATTAGTTATGTGGAACAGAGAGGGTGGGTTAAATTCAAATGTTGACTAACATTTTAACAGCTCTTAGCAGCTGAGCAGTAACCAAGAACAACAAAAAATGCTGGAAATGAAGCCCTGTTTGAAGGTGTTCCAGCCATGCAGTGACATGCGGTGCTTACAACCAGCAACAGGCACAGGAATGACTAGGAATGTTAATTTGCTCTTCTGCTTCCACTGGTCTCTCAACTATCAAAGCTTTCTCCAGTGTATGTATGGACTACAGAATACCACTCTATCTTAATGTCTTTCTTCTGAAAGAGACCAGGTTTTTCTAAGCAACAGATGCTCCAAAACTCCAACTGAAGAAAGCAGAACAATGGAGGCTGTTCATTATTTCTGAAAGAGAAATTAAGGACTTCTCAAGACCCATGGAAATATTTTAAAATTCAAATTTACTGTCTGTTCTCAGAGTCTGTGACAGAGAAAGCAAGAGGAATTATATCTTAATATTCCACATTCAAAAGAGACTAATTGCATTATAGAGCTTCATTTTGTTCTGTGCAAAATTCAGTGAACTGTGGTTGTGCATTAATGAAATATTGAAGAGGAAATGGAAAGTATATTCAGTCAAGATTCATTTTCATGAAAGAATAAGTATAGACAAGAAGGAATATTAAAAGTGTGCTTTGGAAGCCTTCATTATTTAAGTTGCATGTAAGCACTCCTTTCATCAACAAAGACTAAAGAAAGGAGAATTATGCCACAGATCATTTTTATTTTTCTTCAAAATTAGATAGGTAAAGATAGCAGACCAGAATTTATTAATAAGTGAAAGGAGGCCTTAAAAGTCTGAAGAAATAATAAACTGATCTGCCCAGCTATAACTCCTCCAAGTTATCCTGTCTCAATCCAAACACCTGGTCCTCTAAAAAGACCTTTTCACTCTTTCCTTGCCTTTTACAATATACCAGTGTTGCTCAATTCATTTAAGGCTTAATTTACGAATAAGAAACCACATTTACTCCTTGCTCCTGCTTAGGATCTATCACACAACTGGGATGAAAGGGCCTTGATTCAGAAGTTGCCAGAAAGCTAGGTCACAGTGGTACACGGTCAAAGTTTAGGCCAATACAATGAAGCCCACAAAAATTTGAGTAATATGCACTACTCATCACAATACATGGGAACACTTACCGTGTCCCACAAAATATTCCTTACAGATCCCAGAAGTCTCATCAAAGAGAGAGCATGAACAGAGGTTGCGGGCATCAAGTATTTCCCACCATTGGCTGAAACTGCTGGGATGGGGAAAAAAGGAGACGGCAATTGTACCAGAATGTAAAGCAGAGCACTGTCCATTCTCCAGTGCTATGTGGCTGCTGACCAGAATAAATAATGCTTTTCCTCATCTGAATCTTCGGAAACACTTTGGGGATCACATGCATGTTACACAACATTGAGAGAAAGGGAAAAGGAAAGCACAAACTCCAGTCTTGTACAGGAGAGGTTGTGGCAGCAGCCCCCCTCAGTATGCAGTTCACATACAGCTTTACCTTCACAAGAAAAAGAAACATTCAGCACAGAAGAAAAAAAAAATCCATTAATGTTCCAAAACGTTGGAATAGAGTGTTTGCATCTTACCAAGTGTTTGCTATGAAATTTTCAACTGCCAAATGAAATGCATCAGTGCAAAAAAATAGCAGAGAAATGCCAAAAGATGCCATCATGACCAGAACCGCAAGCATTTCCTTGTATTCACTATCCCCATAGCTAGACAGGGAGGTTCCTCCACCCAGTGTGACTGTAACTTCCCTTATAGAAATACCAGGGGCGTCGTGAGTAGAGCATTGACTGTGGTTTTTCATGCTGATGATTCAGCTCAGAACTGGCAACCAACCAACCAGGCTCACTGAAGCTTCATTCTGCATTTGCAAGCAGCAGTCAGAAATGATGGGAGTATCCCCTGCAGTTGTTAAATAAATGGAAAGGTCCCCCTTCAACCATTTCAAGCTCAAGCATTTACACAAATCATCACCTTCTCTTGCCAAAGCAAGTTTCTGAAGAGATGCAATTTGCAGCTGAATGGGAGGCTTCTGGTTACAAAAAGATAAGCACAGTTCCAGTAGCAATAAGGCTGTCCCTGCCTCAAAATCCTGCTGCTGCTTGTGGGAGGCTGAGTTTGATCCTGCTGCAGAACTGCACCCCGTACTAACTGAGGACATGAAAACAAAACCTTGATGCTCCTTGATCAAATGAATAACTGCTGAGCATTGCTCAATGCAAAACTTATCAGCACATTTAATGGCATTGTACCCCAGTTCCCATTCTGCCTCTCTTCTGTACCTATGTCCCATTCTTTTTGGTTAGGAACACACAAGCCTCACCCTGGTAAATTCTTTTTGCAGTCACAATACCCTTTCTTGTTTCCTCTTGTGCCATTTTCTAGTTCCTCTTTCACCTTTGTATCCAAGGGTTCCCAGACACCAGGCTCCTTATTACAATCCTCGTACTCTTTCAAGCCCAAATCCTTCCCCAGACCTTTCTTATCATCTATCCCATTGGTTTATCACAGTATTGTTCTTGCCAAAATTGTTTTAGCCTTCAACACACTGCCACTAAACATTATTCATTTTTCTTAGTTGCAACTCTAAACCATTAAACTAACATTCAGATCCTAGTTTGGACTTGTATTCCCATTCTCTATGTCCCATTTGTAGTCCAGTCAGTTTGTTCCTTTATATTATAGAATCATAGAATAGTTAGGGTTGGAAAGGACCTTAAGATCATCTAGTTCCAACCCCCCTGCCATGGGCAGGGATACCCCACACTAAATCATGTCACCCAAGGCTTTGTCCAACCTGGCCTTGAAGCAGGGATGGAGCATTCACAACCTCCCTGGGCAACCCATTCCAGTGCCTCACCACCCCCACAGGGAAGAATTTCTTCCTTATATCCAATTTAAACTTCCCCTGTTTAAGTTACCCCTTGTCCAATCACTACAGTCCCTAATGAATAGTCCATCTCCAGCATCCTTATAGGTCCCCTTTAGATACTGGAAGGCTGCTAGGAGGTCTCCACACAGCCTTCTCTTCTCCAGGCTGAACAGCCCCAACTTTCTCAGCCTATCTTCATACAGGAGGTGCTCCAGTCCCCTGATCATACTCGTGGCCCTCCTCTGGACTTGTTCCAACAGTTCCATGTCCTTCTTATGTTGAGAACACCAGAACTGCACACAATACTCCAGGTGAGGTCTCATAAGAGCAGAGTAAAGGGGCAGGATCACCTCCTTTGACCTGCTGGTCACGCTCCTTTAGATGTGGCCCAGGATATGGTTGGCTTCCTGTGCTGCAAGCACACACTGAAGCCGGCTCACGTTCATTTTCTCATCAACCAACACCCCCAAGTCCTTCTCCACAGGGCTGCTCTGAATCTCTTCTCTGCCCAACCTGTAGCTGTGCCTGGGATTGCTCCAACCCAGGTGTAGGACCTTGCACTTGGCATGGTTAAACTTCATGAGGTTGGCATCAGCCCACCTCACAAGTGTGTCAAGGTCCCTCTGGATGGCATTCCTTCCCTCCAGCATATCAACAGAATCCCACAGCTGGTGTAATCGGCAAACTTGCTGAGGGCTCACTCAATCCCACTGTCCATGTCAGCGACAAAGATGTTGAACAAGACTGGTCCCAACAACCATCCCTGAGGGACACCACTCATTACTGGTCTCCAGCCGGACACTGAGCCATTGACCACAACTCTTTGTGTGCAGCCATCCAGCCAGTTCTTTATCCACTGACTGGTCCATCTATCAAATTGATGTCTCTCCAATTTAGAGACAAGGATGTTGTGTGGGACAGTGTCGAACGCTTTGCACAAATCCAGGTAGATGACATCAACTGCTCTAACCCTGTCCATCAGTTCCATTGCCCCATCATAGAAGGCCACCCTTTAAGAACAAAGAAAAGAAAATAAAACCTCCCTGAACACTTGGCCATGTTTGACATGGAACACAGCAATCCAGGATTGCAATTACATCTAGGAAGATCCCATTCAGCTCTGGACTTGAGTCCAAGTACATTTTGCATACTTCAAGGAATGAACTAATGGCAGTATTACAAATCTCTAATAACCACATCCAAAGTATAACTTGTTTTTTTTTTTACCCAAGACTTAATAACATGTTCCATTCATAGGAATGACAGGGGGGAAAGTTAATTAAAAAAAAATCCTTCATAGGAAGTCCACAATGTTACCAAATTTTAGGTACTAAATTCAATCCAAGCTTCTAACATTAGCATACTTACTGAACCAAAAGATGATGATCAGAGTATTTGTCACATGGGCAACGAAATGTAATTTTATTCTCATTCTGTGAAACATCTGAACTTTTACTGAGACATACGAAAAATCAGCCTAAGGTTACTACTCCAAACAGAAACCACAGGCAACACAAAACCATACTGTTCTTTGCCCAAGCAAATGACCTAACAATAAAATAAATTATAATTACTAGCTTTTCTAGAATCCAAGATTTTCAAAATCCTGAAGACAGTAAACTTATGCTCTTGGAATATAATGCTCTTGGAATGGATCATACATCAGGTAAATGTTGTTGGGGGAGATTTTCAAAGGCATAGAGGTTATCAGAGTAACCAGCTCCCCATGAAATCCAGTCGAAAGAAGGTAGTCACGCACAAGAAAGAGGCACATACTGCAAGCAGACCTTGAGGAAATTTATGAGAGCAGACTGGGAATCTTGGAAACCTTTACCTCAGCTGTCCCCTTACTGTTGGTACCTGAATGTCCCTCACACATCAGCTTTGAATACAACACATGCTATCATCCAAAATCATGTTTGGCACCAGCACCCAAAGACCTCAGTCATGACAGGACTGAATCCAGCCCATGTGTCATGGCCAAGCCTAGCCTGAGTCTAAACATTATGTGGGATTTTGCACATCTGGATTGAGAAGCTTCCATTTTATAGGTTTCTTCAGATTGTTCTTAGAGGCACACTGCAAGATCATGTCTCATAAAATTCATTTGCGCTGGTTAGCATTTAGTTCTTAAACCAGAGGAAGAGAAACTGCAGAACCAGTGACCTGGATATATTTTATAAATGAGTTGATTTGCTGCAATATTTTATAGAATCCCAGACTGGTTTGGGTTGGAAGTGACCTTAAAGCTCATCCAGTTCCAACCTCCTACCACAGGCAAGGACACCTTCCACCAGACCAGGTTGCTCCAAGCCCCATCCAACCTGGCCTTGAACACTGCCAGGGATGGGGCAGCCACAGCTTCTCTGGGCAACCTGTGCCAGTGCCTCACCACCCTCACAGGAAAGAACACCTTCATAATTTGTAGTCTAATTTTTCTTAATGGTAAGAAGACAGAAGAAATCAGACAGAAAAAAATGAGAAGATAGAAAATTGGAATTCAGGTCTCCTGCTGTCTTTTTTGTCCATTGGAAAAAAATCCAAAACATTTCTAACTATAGTTCTATAGTTACATATAGTTTCTAACTATATTTCATCTTTGACATGGAAATTTTAGGAATCCAAAGTAGAGCTTTCAAAGACCCTTTTATATGCCATTGAATTATGGTTTATAATTTTGATCTAAGAAAAATCGCCTTACTCCAAATGTATTTGTGTTGATGGTTCTACCTAAAAACCTACCAAACTCTGCAGAATGTTTTATAAACTATTGGAAGAAACACCATTTTCATTCCATCGTGTAAACTTACGGAATAATTTTTATAAACTTTACAGATGCTCCTGCTTGCTACTTCAGCAGAAGTCCCCCATGACTGCACAGAGCTCACACTGTACCTGGAATTTTCAGCCCCCCTCACTGTTCCTCTACAGCCATCTAAGAATCATCTAAACTCCCACAGAGATATAAAGGGGAAACTGTTACATAAAGGGGGAAAAGGAATTATTTCCTATGGCTCAGAGTGCCACTTCTGATATGATTTCTCTCTTAATTTCAATAAACAGCAATTTGTTGCTGCTGCCAGAATTTGAAATAGCAAAGGGGACTGAAGGACTTGCTTATTTCTAGGAGCATCAAGGATTAGGTCAGCTGAAAGGCTGAGAGAAGGCTCTGCAAGGAAGCTGCTTGGCAGTAGCATGCCATATCCATCACCATGAATGGAACTCTCCAGCTTCCAGCACTATATTTGCATACACACACAAATTAAATGTGCCAATAGAATACTGTGATATCATATAATACACAGTGAATTTTAAATGTAATTGTACCTATAACCATGTTTGCCTTAACAGTGTAAATATGGAAG